ATCTTATAACAGATGAAGGACTTTAGAATCTTGGTTCTTCAATTTCTTTTTGATGAACACACAATGCGAGCAATCACTAACATCCCTCTCTCAAATACCCTTGTAGACAACTCCCTATAGTAGAAACCAGCTCCAAAGGGTGAGTTCATAGTTAAGTCAACATATGGAACCTTTAGAAAGTTGCAATGTGAATGTTCTTCTCATACAACCAAGTGGACCAAGCTATGGACCTTATAGGTTCCACTAAGGTGCCAACTCTTTGCTTGGAAGCTCCTACATAGAATAGTTAAAACAAAAATGGTAATCTGGCCAACAAGAATAGAAGGAGATGTTCTTTGCACATTCTACAATTAAGAACCTAAAATTCAAGAACATTTATTCTTTGCTTGTAATTTCTCTCGAGCGATATGACTTTAATCTCAGGTGAGGTTTAACCCTAACCTCTTTCTTGCAATGCACGCTCCTAATCCATTCAAGTAGAGCAGTTAAAACAAAAATGGCAATTTGGATAACAAGAAAAGGATATGTTCTTTGCACATTTTTGCAATTCAAAATCCAAAACTGAAGAGCATTTATTCTTTGCTTGTAATTTCTCTCAAGCAGTCTGACTTCAATCTCAGGTGGGGTTTAACCTAGACCTCTTTCTTACAATGCACACTTCTGATTCATTCCAATGGTGGGCTCAACATAACAAGCATTGTCTTGGCCTAATGAAAAAAAATTTGCCCCTGTAGGGTGTTGGCTATTTTAAGAAGTTTATGGGATGTTAGAAATGATGTACTCTTCAAAAGAGCTGCTCTTGACCCGAGTGTAGTATGCCTTAGAGCTGACCTTTATTACTCTTTGGACTTTGAAAAGAGTGTTGTCTCACAAGGCTCAGTTTCAAATGTTGAACCAGAGTTCTGGTTTTCTACTAGTTCCCACACCTTTGCTTTACTTAATGGTTCTTGGCACAACACCACACACATTGCCTCTACGGGACTTTTGATTTTCTCCCATTTAACATCCACTTTAATTGTAGAAGAACTTTGCATGGCCACATCTACAACCGAAATTGAAGCTTAGACAATCATTTGGGGCTTAAGAATGGTCATCTCTTTTAGATTCCTGCATGCTATCCTTTTTTCTGACACTGAAAACACTATCAATGCTGACAGGAACCTTTAGAAACATTAACTGGCGAAAAAGACCTCTCATTGAGCTAATCAAGCATATGTCATCCTTTCTTGCTAGTATTAAGTTGGTTTGTGTAAATAGAGGAGAAGTTATCACAACTCATGTAATGGCTTAGAAATCCAGAAACTCTAAATATTTTGTTCCCTCCTTTCATTGATCTCTTATTTTTCTTGTAGGAGGGGTGTGATCCTGTATCCTTGATGTTTTTAATTGGTTCATTTTTTTGCAAAAAAAAAAAAAAAGGGGAAGGGAAAATTGCAGATTAGTACCTTGTACTTTGGGCCTAGTCTCACTTTGGTCTCCAAACTTTAAAATGTGCCAATTCAGTAAGTAAACTTTCAAAACGTGCCAATTTAGTACCTACCGCTAATCAGTCGTTAGTTATGTGTATCATGTGATATCACATATGATTTAAAACTATTGAAAATGTCAAAATTATCGTTTTGAAATAAAACATTGCTGATTACCTTCATCCTCAAGAAGATGAAACAGAGGTGCAAAACTAAAAACTCATGGTGTCTATGGATGAATAGTAGCCAACATCCATGGTGTCTCTTCTAGTCAACAGTGTTCCACACTTCTCCTCTTAGTCTCCTCCCAAAACAACGAAAGTCCTGAAAGGATTCTCTCCTTAATTCGATGCTTTGAAAAGCTTGAAGCCTAGGAGAAGTATTGGTTCCAAGCTCTTGAAGGTTAGGGTGAACGTCGGTCACAAATCTAAAACCATCGGCCCCGATCGAAATCCATCACCGGTTTAGCCCTCTTGTCCTGACTCCAATGATCCAATATAGAAATTCGTTAAAAGGGATTACAAATGGGGCTGTATTGTGCCTTCTTATGATAGGAATCAACTTCATGCTACTATTGCTGAGCTATTTCATGAAGGATGCAGAGATAAAGTACTCCATAGTCCAAAACTGGTATGCAAGTGACGAGGAAGGGAATGGTGGGATTTATAATTTTGTTACGAAACGGGGCCTTTGTGCTAGATCTTTGTCGAAGATATCATGGACCCAGGTGGAGAGGGAGTTTGCTGTTACTTGGAAGTATCCAAGTGTTGTTTTGGAGGAAGATGATACAATGGGGGAATTCTATTCCATAGCATTGACAGATGATTATCAACAAGCAGACACTAGGACCAAGATGACATACAAGGGCAAAACACTAGAAGTAGGATCATCTCAAACGGTATATCGACAGGTAATTCATGGAATTGTTATAGGGGCTTGTTTAGGTGATGTCAAATGTAGAGAATGCTAGGAGTGAATTAGATTATGAGCTTATTCATGAGAACAATGATTCCTGGTTTCTACAAGGATGTGTATGACAAGCTCCCTAATGAGTTTGGTGCTGAAGTGAATCAACGTATTTCACTTCACCTTTCATAGAAACTTGAGGGATCTATTGGTTGAGCCACCAGTTATGTATCATTCACAGTTAGCACTTCTTATACTCAAAACATATTTAACTTTACCTTTCATAGAAACTAAAACCTCATTTTATTAACTAAAACTAAAAACTCTTGAGTGAATTCAACACACTCTTGAGTGAATTTTGTAAGCTTTTGTGTTTTGTCGTTTGTACCACTCACTATATAGTGATACCAAGGGTGATTTAAGCTTGAGTGAATTTTGTAAGATTTTGTGAATGAGTGCATTTTGTATCACTCAAGAGGTCTAAGTGTATTCTATACCGAGGCCTGAGTATAAAGCTGGAGAATGTTTTGAACTTTTGATTTTGATGGACAAAAGGAAGAAAACTGTTGAAAGTCGAATATCAGAAATGGGCAATGGAATGTAGTCACAAGTTGGTAGTTACTACTTATGAGAGAATGATTAGAGATGTCGAAACTCGAATCTATGTGAGTATTTTCATGGGGAAGGCTGATTCTGTGGGTAGTGTGTTTTGGGATGTTCATGATGCTGGTGATTTTCATGCAGTGGAGCACCATGTTGTTGGAGATGTTGCTCTCTAACCCTCAACACAATAAGTTTATGTTTTCCGTCAATCAAAGATTTACTATTACTGTGTGTCTATATTTGATATTAGACAACGCTCTCCAGACAATTTTTTGGTGATATTTCCTTTTCTAGTGTCATCTTCTGCTTATTAGAACCAATATTAAGAATTGATTAATAAAGAAAATTAGATGACACCCAAAGAATATTTTTATCTTTTTACCTACCACTCAAGGCAGATTAACAATAGGTACTAAATTAGTACATTTTAAAAATTTTGATACTGAATTAACATGTATTAAAATTTGAGGACCAGAGTGAAATTAGGCCCAATCTCTACCCGCCATGAATTAAAGCCACACATGAGTACGATGGGTATAGAATTAATAGGAAAAGTGAGTAGGAAATCCCATTTGGCAAAGTATAAAGTATTACCTTAAGCCCCAATCCTAGTAGAAGTGGCGTTTCTTCCCAGGTCTGTGCTCCAATTATTGAGAGGTCCTACCAATAAGTCACCATCAGTTGGAACCATTTGACTATGTTGATTATTAATTAATGCTAAAACATTGTATAATATCAAACATGCCCTTGATAGTTGTATCACCTCCTCTGATAAATTTTAGTTGTGCATTAGTGACATTGGTTATCCACTTTCTATTATTTTATAATAATTTTTTGTTGGTAAAGAAACTTTTAGATTTCATTCATTATTATAAATTTATAAATTTATATCTGGCTTTAGTTGGCAGACATAAAGATATGCTCAAACGTGGACTCTCCCAAGTTGTGCTTATCCAAGAGTTCAATCCCATGTGCATCCAATACTATCATTGTTGTAATTGTTGTAGCTATATATGTGCTGATATGTTGTTCTGAAAAGTGAAAACCAATCCAGAAATAAAACTGTTTTCTTTTTTTATTCTCAGTGATTGGTCAATAGTTTCAAACATATAGGTTAAATGAATGAATCTATAAATTAAATAATAACATTATAGAAAAATAAAAAATTTTAAAAAATTTTGAAAAGGTTTAAATTATATTTCCGTTATATTAAATCAAAATAAGTTTCATAAATGAAAATGATTATTATAAAAAAATATAAAAAAGAAATAAAAGAAAAATGTCTGAAACAATGTTTTAAAAACAACCTAGAATTAGAACTGTTTTAATCACCAGTTTTTGGGTCGATGATTCGATTATTCAATTCGAACAAATGGCATATTTTAACAAAAAATTAAAAAAACCACGGGTCTGATGATGAAACATGGCTGCTTCGGCATGACTGGAACCTCGGCTTGACCACCCTAATCCTAACCACTGATCAGGAATCCAGGATTGAGCAACCCAAGTAATCTCACATGATAACCCAAAAAACAGAAAGTTGATAGCGCACGCCCGGTTCGACTAAGTAATATTCCAAATTTCCAATAAATAATTCCGCTTTCAGCTTTGTGGCAGGTGGGGTTGTTGAGGCGGCGGCTACGTTTTGGATTGGAAACGAAGAATTTTAGCACAGCACAGGCACAACTCATGTGATGAATGAATGTGAGTTATCAGTTATGTGTCGTGAAGGCAGCATAGCCGTCAAGGGGGCCCACCCATCACCTAGCTCAGATTCTTTTTGGTTGGTTGCTGACGAGTATCCACCCGATTCACAGCTCAGGGTCGGCTGGCCAGTGGCCAGTGGCCCCCCACCATTTCCTCCCCATCCTATCTTTCCGGTGGTCAATTGATTCCATCCCCATCCCTCACTGTCTTGTTCTAATTTCGCAATATGCCTGCCTGCCTTTATTATACTCTACAGCATATTTACAGGACTATCATTTCCCTGCCTTTAATTGATAATTACGGCTTGCTTCCCGTCTCAACTCTCAACGGGCGGTGAATTTAGGAGGGCATTTTGGCCGGACCAACCAAATAAATTTTAGGATATTTTGATTTTCGGTCCCCTATATTTATTCTAAAAAAATCAAGCATCTTCGATTATGATCTTTCCGCGTGGCATACTTTAAGCCGTCTGTCCAATAAGGGATCAAGCAGGTGGATTCTCCGGTGCATTATTGCGCGCCAATTTCCCACTTCCAGTTCCACCAGAGCACAATCGCCCACTATCCATCCTCCTCCGTTTCCTCTTAAAATTGAAACTCTCATCGATGAAAAGAAAAAGCGGTTATTTGATTATTTAACCAACCCCCCAAAAAACACCAGTTTTTGGTTTTTGCACTTTGCAAAGATAGGGAGAGAAAAACGATGGGGAATTTAAAGCGTGTTGATCTCCACGGAAATAGTTGAAACCAGGTATCTATAGAGAGGGGGGAAAGTAAAAAGTCCTTATCCCTAGTTTTCTCTGCGCCAAGCTCTCTCCTTCGTTAATGGCGGATTCGGAGAAGCAAGAAACGGCCGTTAATGGCATGTCGGAGGAGAGGGGAGGGTCTTGTGTGGAAGGAGTGGCGGTTTCGGATTTTGACATGTTATGCGCCACTGTGGCTTTGCAGACGCAAGGATTTTCGGTAGACAAATGGCGGAAATTGGGAGGAATACATGAAGACGGAGGAGACTTCGGTGGAGTGCAGAGGATGTGGGAAGGTGAAGTTTTAGATTGCTTCGATGACCGACGAATCGCTATTGAAACAGCATGGTGAGTATTCTTCTTTTTCTTTTCCCTTTTCCTGTGGTGTTTTTCTTTTCCTTTTATTATCTGATGGATGCAATATGAGAAGCACTCGTATATTTTCTTTTTTTTTTTTTAAGAACGATTTTGAAATGTTTTTTTTTTTTTCCCTTTTTGAGGTCGTAAGGTTTTTCGTTTTACTGAGTTCATCAGGACATTGGTTTCCATTCCTCTTGTATCCCTTGGAATCTCATTGTTCGGCTTTTCCTTCTTTCTCAGGCGAATGGTAGGTAATGTGGTTTTGGTCTTTTGGAGAAGATTTCTCCTTTTTCTGGGGAGGGATGGGGGAACTTGCCAGGTGTTAGGTCTTAAATGGATTTCCTACTTCCGATTTTCCTTTCAAAGGTTTCTGGAGAACTAGAACCGGGCGGCCTAGCCTCTCAATGTAATGGTGTCCTTAGTGAGTTGAAAGTTTGTGGACTCAAACATGGACGAGGGGAACGAGGCTGCTAATTTGCTATGTTCCTTTGTAACTAAAATGTGAGTTATCGATACAATCAGCCTTTCGCCATTATCCAAATTGATTATGCATGGCTAAAGGCGTTGGGATTCTTTAAAGTGATCATTTCTCATAACTAGGTTAGGAGGCTAGGGCTTGAGATAAATTACAAAAGAAGTTTGGTGTCCATGACAAGGGAGAGATTGAAGAGTGCTGCTCATATAATTAAATCAGATTAGGTGCAATGGATATGTGTCTTTTATCTTCTATGATCAACCGATAACAAGCAAATTAAAGGGATTTTTTTTTAAGATCGCCATAAGATCACCCATCTTGTATGGGACAGAACATTGGAATTCAAGAAACGTGATATTCATACTTCATAGAATAAGGCCTCATTTGGCAAGTCTTTCCACAGCTTCTTTTGGGCTTTTTAAAGCTCAAAAGATGGAAAATGTGTCGTTTCCTGTTTGGCTTTGGGAAGCCCGATAGACTGAAAGATGTAGGTCGTAGAAAGCTTGCGGAAGCCCAAAAATCGCTAATTTCGAGATAATGAAGCTTCTGGTCTTCCCGCAGTTTAGAGCTTCTATGAATGTGAGTTACAAAGCCACGCATTAGGTTTTTTTTTGATAGGGATCAGATTAGCCCCCCCCGACATATGATTAACCGACTCCCTGTTTCTTTTTGCAGCAATAAAAATTAAAAGGGGGATTTTAGTCTCGAAAATACACAAGTACAATTTACATTTACAGGCTCTAGTTGTGGCAGTTTCAGTTGAATATTGTTTGTTTTCTATAGCCCAATGTGGTTTGTATATATACTCGTTTGGGTTTAGAGTTTGTGTTTTCTTTTTTGTAGTTTGGGGTTTAACTGGACTTGATTATCTCTCTGTATACTGGACCAAAACAAAGAGTTTATGTTTTCCATTGTAGTACAATCCTTTTGTAGTTTGTTGATTATCCTTGTATATTGGACTGAAACAAAAGTGTTTTTATTAGTGTTGAATACTTGATTATCAATGTCAATTACCCCTGTATATCCTTTTGTCGTTTGGGGTTTTATTGGACTTGATTATCCCTGTTTATCATTTTTATTTGACTTGAATGCTTTTAGGTACATTATGGTTTTTTTCCATGAAACATTATGATTCTTTTCCATCATTCTTGCTTGGAGATGGAACTGTTGCAGTTTGAAACTATTATGGCCATGAAAACATGTTGGTTCTTTTCCATTATGGTTCTTTCCCATGAAAATAGTTTGTTTCTTTTACACAAAAACATTTCAAAAGTATCCCTGAACCATATGTGTACTCACAGCCATGAATTTTCTTTTGAATAACTCATTTCTCTAATTCCACTGATCACCTTAATTATTTCTTCTAGGTGAGATCTCCAGAGCCTTTGTTTTCTTTACTGCTCCTAGAAATGATTGCTACCTCATATCCTCAGTCCTCACGTTCTCTTACATTGTGCCTTCCCATTACAAATCTGGTAGCATTTTCTGAAATCCATTCGTTGCAGCACATGTTGATGCTTGGCTTATTAGGGGGCATAACTTATAACAAAAGAAGGTATTAAGGTAACTCTATAGAATTCAACTACATATTCTATCCAGTGGTGCAAATGAAAGGAAAGAAACAAGATTCTTTTTGGAAACAAAAGAGGTTTGGACTTGGAGATATGCAGATGAAGTGGGACAGCTTATTTATTTCCAGGCTTCTATCTTAGTGGACTTGGAGTTCTCTGGCTTGAACTTCAACAAATTTTGTAATGACTGGAATAACATCCATGCAGGCCTTGGGATTGTTTGGGGAAGCCTGCTTATGAAAACAAAGCCCCTATGAGTCCTACTTCTGTAGCCAAAGAATCAGCTAAGCCATTAGCAAATCTCCTAACCCAGTGGAACAAAATGTTCACCATGATTAAGTATTTAGCTTCACTAGTACAATGCCAGTGAATCCGTAGGCCATTGCTATTCTTTTTGATAAAGAAATGAACTTTTTATTAATTTGGAAATATTAGCACATACAAGCAGCCCTTGGAGAGGCGCGACCTGCGATCTCTCCACTGGATTTAGCTTCACTAATCCAGTGGAATATAGCTGCCATAGTTTTCAAGGCGCCAAGATGAGGCTAGGCGACTAGGGGGTGCCTAGGCATCGCCTAGGTGATGGATTTTTTATGTTAAAAACATAGATCCTAGGTACCATAACCATATTTCTTTAATAATTATTCATGATTTTCATAAGAAAACTATAAATTTCATATTAAAGTATAGAAAACCAACATATTCATGAGAAGAAAAGGAAGAAGGAAAATAAAATTCAAAAAAAGGAAGAAGAAGGGCGCCTTGTCGCTTAGGCGTTGCCTTGACATCTATGATAGCTGCTTCATTTCTTGGTTTTTAACAGCTGTACAATCACTAATATCAAGTCCATACACTTGACTTCTGCTGTACAATCACTCTTTTAAAGTAGTGACAGGATTTGTCACTCTTGGTGATAGTTGAACTAGGTTTCTTATGCAATTATTACCTTTAATCCTCAAAAGAGTCAACTTAGTTGAAGGGTCATGACTGCAAAACAAGTATGGATTTTTAAAATAGTTACTTGCTATATGATGGACTATGTGGGGCCCACATTGATTTTCTGTATAGATGAATACACGAGTGGGGCTGACCATAGGTGATAACCACATATGTCAATGTGTAGATGAGGACTACATTGATATCTTGTATAGGGAAATGCATGAGTGGGCCCACTTTAATATTTTGTATAGGTAAATGTGTAAGTAGGGTCCAAAAGTACTATCTGTATTTTTGAATTTGTTATTGGGTTCCAGACATGACATTTCACATGTATGTAAGAGGGACCCACAAGTACGCTTACTAAATGGTCTTTCTAGCTTTTGAGAAATCTTTGAAAAAAATTGCAAGCAAACGGTCTTTGGTCTTTGAAGATCTACCTATCAAAGCTCATCAGTCTTATAAGGTATTGAGCTTTTGGAAGATCTTCCTAAAAAAACTTGCCAAACACCTCTTAAGTCTATTAAAGATGAAGCTTTTGTAATGGATGACTTGTAAGCAAGGCTCAAGATATTGATACACCTGATACACATGGCCTTGTGTAATTTTTTTTTTCCAAAATTGGTCAGGGAGTTGGTTTTAGGCCTGCCTACCCCTGAAACTGATCAAAACCCTAAAACACCCTTATTTAGAGTATTGGCAACCTGCCTATATGTTGTGAAGTTTTGATCCTTGCGGGCAAAATTAGAAAAGAATGCATTATTTGGAATAAAAGCCTTAATAGTTGACAAAATGAAATTAAGTTGATTGAGATGGTTTTATCACATGAATGATTTGATACAAGTTGAAGGTCTTAAAAGGTAAGAGAAGGCCAAAAAGGACATAGGTGGAATGTCGAACATGGAAGTAGTGAGAAAGGACTCGTGAACATTAGATTTGGCATAGTACAGTCCAGTGAACATTATGTTTAATATGTTTTTTTTGAATTTTTTACATTTTTAAATTTTTTTGAATTTTCTGACATTATTTTTTATATTTTAGCATTTTTTTTTTGTAATTTTGTGCCTTGCTTCAAAAAGGCGCACACCTTGCCTTGCGCCTCGTGCCTCAGGTGCAAATTGGCCCTTGCGCTTTTAAAACACTGGTACAATCTTAAACAAAGTAAAATGGAAGTAAAGCATTCATATTTCTGCCCCTAATGAGGTTTAGTTGAATAGAATTGGTTCAATAAAATCTAGTGGACTCCCTCTAAATAGGGGTATCAATTGGACTGGATTTGGTCCAATCCGATCCAGTCCAATGTGAGTCCATTATAAATGGACCAGCTCCAATCCAATCCAATGAATATCTTGGATCATTTTGGACCGGTCCAATTCAATGTCTGGACCGTTCAATCTGTTCAAATTCGTTCTGATTTAAATTGGTTTCAACCCAAACTTGGTCCATTGACATCTATATTCTTAACTTATATCAATGGACCAGATATTGGCTTAATCCAACCCAATCTAATATAAATTTATTACGGACAGACCAAGTCCAATCCAATCTAATAAATATTTTGGACCAGATTGGTCCAATCCAATGTCTTATTGGTCCGTCCAATCCGTCCAAATTGATTTTGGACTGAATGGGGTCCAATCCTAAACCAGTCCATTGACACCCTTACCTCTAACACCAGATTGAGGGGAAGAAGGAAAACATGAATAAAAATGTACTCACATGGGGGTAATATTGCAACAAAGGCTCAGTTTGGAAAGAGTACAAATGCAAATATGTACGGTGCAAGTACATATAAAATAATATAAAATATAAGGTTTTGCGCTCTACATATTTGTATTTGTACTCCTTCCAAACTAAGCCAAAGTTAAGAATCCTTTTACTATCAAACTAGGATAGTTAATTATATGTTTTTTTTTTTTTTATATTACAGCTGTCCGTGCTACACATTTGGGAAGAACATGGGAAGAGCTGGTTTTGGTTCATGTTTTGTTCAGGTAAATAATTCTATTTGCAATCCAACCATCATTTTCTTTTGATTACCAAATAATTATGATCCAAGTATTTAATTCTATCCATGATTGTATGGTTCTTTATCCTTACATAAATGTACATGTTCTTGAGGGTCATCCTTTTTGGGAACTTAGAGAAAAAATTAAGATGCTCTATGATGCCTACATGAGGCAAAGGGTTTGCCAAGCAGAAATGGTCAATTTTCCTAGACAGACTTTTTTTTGATAATTGAATTAATTTTCCTAGACAGATTTTGAGTAATTGTATTTTTCATGTGCGAATAGCCTGAATATGGCTTTTACCACGAGTCAGTTAGACCATGTTGACCAGTTCAAATATTAAACTCCAGCTAGCAGTTTGCCTTTTCTTAATGCTATTACTTTATTCAAATGCGCTTCATTCAAGATGTACATCCTTCCGTTTTTTTTGCACAAGAAGTAGAATGCTTGTGCTGGTAAAATCTCGGGCTAGCAGGCATGAGAATGCGGGTTTGAGTCTTTGAGTGGTCTCTTTGTGCAAAATGCCAAAGGTTAGGACCATATACAGTACCCCTCCCAAGACCACAGATAGCTGGGACCAACATTGGGTATTGGCATTTCTTAAGTAGAATGCTTCTGTTCGTCAGCCTGATGAGTTACTTATAATGTTGCTAGTGGTTTGGCTTCTTGGACTTTTGACATAGCTTTATAGTGCAGAGAATTGGTATGTCTTGTAAAAGGTGAACCTTGCTTTGTCATATCCAAACCAACCATATGGAAACTCTAGGGAGGACCGAGTCTGTTCTTTGTGCTATGGAGCATTGTAATTGGTGTCATGAGATATGTTGTGCCAAATGGTAAAGACAAGAAGGATTTGGATATGCACTAAATGAATGAACTAACATAACAAGAAATGCTGGTGGTATTAATATTGAGAGATACAGAATTGTAGAAATATGGTTCTGTACCTCAACCATTATATTATGTACATTCATATTATCTTTTACCACTTTGTTTTCTATTCAAGTAATGGTTAGCCAAGAACCTTTACCATTAAGTCAAGTTGTCAAATTATATTGTCAATACTTGATCTTTGCAGGTTTTGAGGGTTTTCAATCTTTTGGTTTTTGCAGGGAACTATTTATTTCATCATTGCAGTCTGTGCTCTTCTCAACTACATTGCTTTTGCTTATACCAAGCGATACTACTTTCTGTACTTAGCGGTTGGTTTCACAGTTTTGACTGGAACATATTTAGGGTATTTCCGTACACTGATAAGAAAGCAGTTTAATATTGGGGTAAGGCATCCATATCCACAATTATGAGCTTTCATTTTTTCAAAGAAAAATCACATAAATAAGTTTAAGTTGGGAGATTTAGAGAGTCACTACATTTTTACAAACCATCTAATAAATTACAAGGCGTTAGCTGTAAATACCACCAAAATGGCTTTAACCACGTTGAAGCACATGTACAAGCTTAAATGCATATATGATACATGCATATATATATATATATATGTATGTATGTATATATGTATACCAACACGCTCACATGTGTATACACACATATGGGCTTCTTTTGTTGAGAGGAATATTCTTTTACTTTCAAGCATGAGCCTGCAGATATTTTCCTTGAACTTGGAAGACTCGTATACCTTTTATGACACCACTCTGCCCTTCCATTTTGTATTAGTAGATTACACCCTGCATCTGATTGTAGCTTGTACCACTTCCACCTTACTTCCCTTTGGTTACCTCTCAGGCTCAGCTTCCTTGAATTCTCCAGTCTACAAGGAATATTCTCTCTTGTAGCTCCGAAGTCTAAACTATCTTTCTTAACATTTTACTTGTTTAAAATGCGGGAATTTGTTTATGATTTCTCATGTTACTTCAATTTTGGCACATCCTTCTGTTTTAATTTGACCTGTCTCACATGTTCTTTGATTTGATTAACATTGTTTTTAAACCGTTTGCCATTGCAGCAGCACAAGGACAGCTTTTTGGATGACTGTGTGAACCATTTAGTATGCCCCTGTTGCACGTTATGCCAGGTCTGTTTCCTTGTTGCATTAAATTGTTAATAACACAAGAAGCAATTCCACCACGCAACTGAAGCACGTGCAAGACGGAAGTTCTCCTGTTGCGTGGAATTTTGCACCGTTGATTAAGCGGAGAAAACCAAAACCACCCTGGTCCCACTATTTTTTTCTGTTGGTAACGAATATCTTGATATGTTTGAGCAGGAGTCCAGGACATTGGAGATGAACAACGTCCGAGATGGCATCTGGCACGGCCGAGGTGACACAATATGCATAGGCAGTTCCGGAGAAAGGAGCAAAGCCTTTTTTGAGCTACGGCGGCCGCCTCTGGTCTCCACCAAATCTCCTGATCTCTGCAGCATGCGAAGATCTACAGACGGTAGCGATCACTTGTGGATTGCAGGAGTCAACCAATCCGAGCCCTTGGTCCCACCACCATCTCAACACTAACTTCTTTAAAAAGGGGAAAGGTGGGGGCGGTTTCGTAGCCAGCCGACAGCAGGTCAATTGTACATTTTATATACATACTTGTCCATCAGCCAAAGATTGAAAATGACCAACCTGCCGCCGGGCCGAACAAGATATGTCTCATGTTGTGTCCAGAAGGTCAAGGTGTGGGCTTGATCTTGATGATCCCAAAACTCAAATGACCCGGAGTTGGTGGGGAATTTGCACCCTTCACCGGTTCACCCCAAAGTTAGAAGAAAAGTTGGGTTAATATTTGGCAAATTTGTCGCTGTATTTTTTTCTCTTTTGCACTTTACTTAATGGGGTGGTAACTGTAATTATTCTTATTTCTATCCATGATAGATGCAGTATATGCAACCCTCTACCTTAACCAATCCAATATAATTCTCTCGGTTGGGCTGCTTCATGTCGAGAATTTAGCCAGGGGAATTTAGCACGTCGAAGGCAATATTTCGTAGGAAAAAGTTTGGGTCTTGGATGGTAAGTTTGTAAGTTGTAACCAGTCGTCTGATCTGATGACTGAGTAGTTGAGATAATCACTTGGTAACCCTCAAAGAAAAAAGGAAGTGCATGATCAAAAATTCAAAATCGTAGAGTGATTTGATTATTATTTTTTTATATGAAGGATATAAAATCACATATATTGACTAAAGTACGGAAACTCAGAGTACAAGAAAGCAAGAACTGGGAAGGTATGTATTTTATTGCTGCAGTTGTATGACTTGTATCTAATCTACGTGTAGAGAAGGATAGTGAGCTAAAAATAAAATTGTAATTTTACTTCTTATTGCACCATTCGTTTTCTATTATTTTAGGTCTCGTTTGGCATAACTCCCCAGGAGTGATTCTGGCAGTTCTTGCATTTCTGTGGAATGGAATTGCGTTTGGATGCGTCCAAGCTCGAGAATCGCTCCTGATTCCGAAAGGCTGATTCTCGGGAACCCAGATTGTAATTCTACTTCTGCAGTTTCTTGCTACGTCCTCTTGAGAATTAAGAACACGAGTGCACTCCCGTAATTTTGCACTTCAACACTATCTTGTCAAAACTCAAAATCCCTGACCTTATTCGTTGATTTCTCTCACCCTCAACGTTCCTCTTCTCCAACACTGATACTCAACTTAGGAGAATTCACCCCTTAAAGTTAGCTGTTAGAAGGAGGAAACCTAAGTACATGTATACCTCACAACAGCATTCCATTCTATCGATGTGGGATACCTCACATTAGCATCCCATACTACCAACATGGGGCAAATGCATCGTAACAAACACTCTCTGCAACTCCGGCGACCTCAGGCTTCATCTTCTTTTATTTTATTTTTCACTTTCCAACGCTCTTTATCGATCGGCGTGATAAATTTCTATTTTTGCAAACAAACAAACAAAGGAATAAATAAATATCCTCTCTTCTTTACTATACCACACCGTCTCTCGTTATCTTCCTTCGAAACTCCAATGCAGTTACGCTCGCTTGCTCTTTGATCTATTTTGGTCTTGGTTTATGAGGTAATTACTCCAACTTTGATCTGGTTATTCCCTCAGATTTCTTTCTTTCTATTGTTAGTCCATCAAAATGGTCTCGGTTTTATTGTATTTATCTTGATTTTGCTCCAAATTTTCAACAAATCTGTTTCTTCTTGATGGGGTTTTATTTTAAAGTTTTTCATTTTGATTTTTGGAATGGCTTGTGATCTCAGTTCTTTCTTTTCTGATATGTTATTATATTTTTGGCGATCTTGGTTTTGGTTTGTTTTTTCTTGGATCAGTTCTTGGGATGTACTAATTTCCAATTTTTGTTCCTTTCTAATTAGAATTTTATTGGAAATATCTGACGGATTTTCCTTGTTCTCTGTTTTCAATCGAAAATGAAAACGTTTCTTTAGTGGGTCGTCAAGAACCCTGACATTCTCGAATGTCAAAGATATAATTATCACTGTTTTGTAACAGTAACTACACTAGTAGTTACAAAGATATAATTGGTTGGAATCTCCTATTCTCTTCAATGGAAGTTTCTCTTAGGTTAAACATTTCCTTGATTTGAACTTGAGAGGCAAGAGTTGCAACGCATCTGCCATTTTCTTCCGTCTCCAAGACCATCTTCCTTCTAGAATACAGTTACAAAACAACTTTTCTTTGGCATAGTAATCTTGTAATCTGATAAAACTTCCCTTGCAGTTTCCATCTACAATTGCCATTAACCGCCACCCATAAATTTCAATTGCCATTAATGCTCCAGCCAAGAAGCCTTTAAACCACACCACCAATCACCAAACCTTTTCTCCTTCTTTGATCTTACCAGAGTTCCATTCTTGTTTTCAGTCTCTATGTAAAACTCTTTGCTTTGATACCCACAAATCTTCTTCTCACATGCATTCTTGAAGCTCTCAGATTACTTAAAACAGAAACTGTCAAATTTAAGCTTTATCCATGGAATAATGTATTTGATCTTAATTATATGCTTCATCCCATAGTTCCGGCCTAAGTGGATTGGCAGTACAAGGCCTTTAGTCATTTTCGTATGTTAAAGAGTTATAACATATACTTAAATTATCATCTCCATCTACCCTAGCCACCTTAACACTTGAGTGGTGCTGGCAACAAGAATCTCATGTGCTACTACCACAGTACCACTACCACCACTAACAACCATTGACCATTAACTCACTGGAGGAAAAAGAGAAAAAGGTTGGGGGAGGGGTTGGCACTCCCTCTTTCAACACCTTGATCATCCTACACTTCTCTCATCTAACCTTCAACTTTATTTGGTATTGTGGTTCCCTTAAATCAGCTAGTGTTGGTGGAAAATGAAGTCTCCAATAATGAGATAAATTGCAATTTGGACAATTGTACATGCAGCCAAACCTGCAAATCATTTAGAAGGAATGCCTTTGGAGTAACTTAATTTTGAGAATTCCTGTAATAAAATTGAATTTTTTTTTCTAGGAAAACTGCACAGATTGTCAAAAGATCTTGAAATCTTTCATTGAGGGAAGATTCTATTTGCATCATCTCATGCTAATATGGAAATGAGCTATAATGTTACAATTATTGATGATAACACGATATGTTCAGGATCAGATCTGCGCTTTGTGTGACACTTCGAAAATGACTGCTGCCCACCTTTGGTGAACTTAAATCAACTGATTATTTAACATTGATATCCTTTTCGTATAACAGTCTATACAACACATTTAACAAGACCAGCTGGTATGAGATATGGACGCACAAAGTAAAGAACTAATTACTTTGGCTCTAAGAGACTGGCAGTCAAGTTTTAACTCCATTTGAACTTATATTTATTAGAATTTCCATGGTTATGCCATCAAACGGTTAAAGAATTGATTCAAAGAAATTGGTTGCTGCTAAACGTGATTATATTTTTGAGAAACATGAATCAGATGACTATTCCAAACAAGATTGGTGATTCTCAGCATGAAAAATCTCGGAATCTATTCTTTTCTGAAAGGATTCTGAGAATGGGAATCCTCAGAATTGATGCCAAACAAGGCCTTAGTTTGTACATTACTTTTTTTATTATAAGGATAGAAGCGTCTTTCACATTCCATTAATATAAATAGTTCTTTTTTAGTGTGGTTGATTCGTTAGACACACCCCAAATTTGTTGTCTTTTTTTCTAGTAAAACTAACATGATACTAAAGTAGGTGCGATTCTCTAGGTTTTGATTTCAAACTTTATTTTCCTATATTCAACATCGGTTTGGGTCTATACCTATATTTTTTGGACTGTTCTTATAAAGACACGAAGTTTGATTTTTCCTGGACTGAGATGCCACTCAGGTTAGTATTTTGGGGTTTTCTCTCAAGTGGTTGATCCGTTTGCTCTAAAATTCTAGATCTGGTGTTGCCCTAGGTTGTTCCTTCATCCCTAAATTTTTGGTGAAGTTTGGATTTGATTTTCTATGGTTTTTATTTCTTTTTATGAACCTACTTTTTTTGGATTGTGAACAGGATTTTTGCTAGTTTTCAGTCGGTTAAAGATTGGTTTCTCCCTCTTATTTCTTTTTATGGCATTTAAAAAAAAGGTCATATGCTTCCTATCAAGTTCACCGGAAACAACTATGCCTTATGGCAATTCCATTTCCAATTTTATGTTGAGGGAAAGGTGTTGTGGGGTAAATCAATGGAACCACACTATGCTTGAAGCAATTGATGCACAAGGGTTGTAGACTTGGAAGATTAATACTCAGATTGCGTCTTGGATCCTTAGCTTAGTTACTACAAATGTTGCAATCCGTATGAGGGGTTTTCGGACAGTCAAGGAGATGTATGAATACGTAGAAAAGGTTTATCAATAGTCCAATATATCACCATAATATCAAATTGAAACTGAAATATTTTCTTACAATTAGGGTGAAAGGAAAGTTCAGGAATACTATGCAGGATTTGTCAATCTTTGGACAAAATTTGTGGGAAAGTGTAATTTTTTGGAACTTTCATTGGACAAAATTTGCCCCTACAACTTGAGTTATCTAAGGGGTAAATGTGTATTTTGGTAAAACTTTAATTAAGATGGTTGAAATTGCATTAATCAATTATACTATACTATTATTAAATTAAAAGTATGAATAAGGGTATGAAATTTTTCTTGACTAAAATACCCATTCAACTATTATTTTCACTTCATTTAATCCCCTCTCATTAAGTCTTATATTAAGGTATTAACTCCCATTCTTCCTTATTAAATCGTATATTAAAATTACTTTTTTCATTAATAAGTGCTATTAATTAGATCTATTTTAATACATTTAACAATATAAATCCATATATTTTAAAACTGACTCGTAAACAAAACCATTCTTTCATTTAAGTGGCGACTAAGCAATTCAACCATCTACATCGATCTGGTTAACCCATGAACTCATAATTATGTAATAAATTTTTTAAAATAGAAATAAATAGGAAAAAATACAAAAAATATAGAAAAAATTGGATATATTTATGACATTTTTATTAATCAAATTAAAATGTAAGGGTAATAAACAAAAATTATTTTTATTAACAATGAAAATGAAATACATAATCTACAACTAACCAAAAATGAAATTATTTTCCTGTTTGGTAGAGATTAATAGTTCTAATTTTGGGTTAAATGTGTTGACCTTTAATGTCATACTTAAATAATAAAATTAAAAAAAGATAAAAAGATTTTTTTTACTTACATAGAAATATAAAAAATAATAGAAAAAATTTGAACACATTTATAATTCAGAGTTTGCAATCTACAATTCGATTAATAATCAAATCAAACTCAAATTTGACTTCGTTTGATCCCGAATTAAAATATGAATTTGATTATAGTAATATTTATTGGTTTTAATATGTAAATTTTATATAATTATGTTTAAAATTATAAAAAATATATTTTTATAAATTATATTATATATTTATATATATAATAAATCCAATGTGCTATATTTATATTAATTTAGTATATATAAAAGTTGAAAAGTAATTAAATTTCTAATTTTTATTTTATAAATGAACATGTAGTTAGATTAAAACCAAATCCGATTGGGTTTCGGATTGGATCTAAATCTCTCTATTTAAAATATTTTTCTCATATATGAATTCTATTAATTAGATTTATATCCAATACTTTTAATAATATTAAACTCATATTTAAAAAAATGACCGCAAAAACAAAACCTTCTTCTATCCATGTGGCAAGTAAGCAATTCAACCATACAAGTCAAATGGGTCAACCCATGATGCCATAATTAAATAAGAAAAAATATATATAAAACAAAAATATAAAATTTATTTAATATTTTAGATACATTATTATAACCATTATCATCATCATCATCTAAAATTTTCACATACAAAGCACGCACACAATTACTAGTACGCACACACACACACACACACACACTATTGAATATCTTATTCATGAACCTCTCCCTTTTCTAGGTCGATGCCTGGTTCGATTCTCTAAGAAAAATGGTAAAATACCAATTGCTCGATTGCTCTTTCTCTTACATCAAAGGAAACTTGTTTAGTGAGAGTTGTTGGCCGCAACAATCACCACAAGATTAAAAATTAAAAACCTAGTAAGTTGGCATTGAATTACCAAGTTTTATAGTTTACTTCTTGTTCGTTGTATACTTGTATTACATGGGTCATTAACTAAAACACCCCCTATAGCTTCACGTATTTATTTAAACCTACCTTATAGTTTTCATTTTACTAAAGTATCCCTTATAGTTTGCAACTTATTTACTTAATTGACCTTTTATTAAGGAGTGTTTGTTTTGCAATTGGACCATGATTGTTTATTCCAAAAATACCCCAACACATTTTTTTTTGTATAGAAAACATAATTGACCAAATATAGCCAATGGTTGCTTGTGTCTTATTAGGGGCAAAATTGGTATTTTCATTTTTATTTTCCTTTTGATTAAATTTATTCAAATAGAGATTAGGGTCAAAACTGTCATTTTCCACTATTAACTAATGGAAGGTCGATTGAGTAAATTCATTGCAAATTATAAGGGGAGTGTTTTAATAAAATGCAAACTATAGGATAGGTTTTAATAAGTCTTATGAAACTATAAAGAATGTTTTAGTAAATGACCTTACTTAATGCTCCATCTCTTTCTTACTTTCTAAGGACAAGTAGATATCTAATATCTAATATGGGTGAAGCCCCATAAAACAAGGAGAATGAAGATGTAGATTTTAACAACCGGTGGACGTGCCGGAGTGGTTATCGGGCATGACTAGAAATCATGTGGGCTCTGCCCGCGCAGGTTCGAATCCTGCCGTCCACGTTTTTATGTATTGTTATTTTTTCTGATGTCCTTTCTTTTGGAATAATAGAGCAGCGCCACACAAGAGGCCAAGACCCATCGTTTGTTTTTTGTTTGCCTTACAGAAAAATGTCAGATTCAATGGTTGTGGCAACAGCCTGTACCTTAAAAGTTCAATTTTCCTTCTGTGGCCTTTACCCTTCACGCTCATGTACACTCTTAATTGGTGCAGTACTATCTCCTGCTGTAGATTCCTTTGTCTGAACTTTGCTCTTAACATATGTGTTGTATGGTCAACTTTTATTTATGATACCATTCTTAACAAATGTATGGTCAAACTTCTGGGTCCATTGACATTGCACAGTATTTGTTTGTCAATATTCCAGCATTTGTTTGTCAAGCTTCTCTCTGGGTCCATTGTTTATTTGAAGGTTCGTAGTTTGGTCACGCTGAAATACGGAGTAAATCTATAAGTTGGTTGAGGAGAACTGAGGAAGTATGCACTTTGGCAATTTTGACTCGACATTGTTCAATCTAGCTAGCTACCGTTCTGTGCTGTGTTTAGAGACACGTCTTGGTCAGTTGGTTGCGTAACTTTCTCTATGTCTCATGCACTGTTTAATTTCATACTGGTCCAGTCCACTCTACATAAACTCATACTTTTGGTTTAATTACACAATCCTCCTCTCTGATTTTCTATAATTACGGTTCAGCATTCTTCCCTTACTAACAATTACAATTACTAATAGGGTTGTAATTCTAGTTAAGACTTAAGATTACAGTACTCACAGTTTTTCATATATATGCTTCTCAAGTGATGGATGAAGCACGGAACATCTAGTTCGTCCAAGTGGTATTATAAGCTCGTAGCAGCAGTGATCAAGGACCAAAGTTTTAAAAACTGATCCGGAAATCAATCCGGCTGGCGGGTTCAGTGGTTCAACGCCAGGCAATACACCCATTATTTGTAAAACATCCAAACCCATTATGAGAATAATGGTCGAAATTGATTTGTTCGACTTTGATTAATGATATTTATAGAGTACAAAGATAAGTAAGTCCTATCTTGATAAGGATAGGTTAGGTGAAACCTAACTAGGATAGAGCTTATCTCACTAGGATAAGTTTATTCTTTACAAAGTAATCTATAGAGATGAGGATTATCTACAAGAGAAAAGTACAGTAGAAGAGGTAATTACAATGTGAGTTGGAGAGGGAGTCTACAACATGATAGAGGAGAAGAAGGAGTTCAACTCGTAGACGCCATACGTGCATGCGCCGTATGCGCATTATCGTTTACACCCCCCCCCCAAGCACAGCTTGGGAAGCCATGGTGAGCTTGTGACAAAGGATCTCAAATTGTGGAAGACTAAGAGGTTTAGTGAGAATATCTACAATCTAATCCGCCGAGGGTATGTATCGTACATCAAGAAGCTTAGTTGCAACTTTCTCCCGAATGAAGTGAATATCCAACTCAATGTGTTTGGAGCGAGAATGAAGTGCAGGGTTGTTAGCAAGAAATTTAGCTCCCATGTTGCCACACCATATCAAAGGAGTCACAGAGAGGGAAACACCTAATTCTTGGAGGAGCATGTGAAGCCATAAAAATTCTACAGCAGTAGAGGCTAAGCTGCGATATTTTGATTCAATGCTAGATCGTGCCACTATAGGTTGCTCTTTAGAACTCTAGGAAATTTAGTTAGGACCAAGAAATACACAATATCCACTCTGAGAATGTCGATCCATAAGACAGCTTTCCCAAATAGCATCAGAGTAAACAACAAGAGAGAAGGTACGACATGGTTGAAGAAGTAAGCCATAAGTGATTGTATTTTTCAGATAGTGAAGAATCATTTTTGCAGCTGCCCAGTGGACCGTAGTAGGAGATTGCATGAACTAACATACCTTATTTACAGCAAAGGTAATTTCTGGATGAGTAATAGTAACATACTGAAGAGCGCCAACAATGCTATGAAAGAAAGTGGGATCAGTAAGCGGTTCACTTTCTGACTTGGTGAGACGAGCGGAGGTAGACATAGGAGTGGAGAGAGGTTTGGCATCATGAAGTTGTGCTCGATTTAGAAGATCATCAATATACTTGTGTTGAGACAGATGAAGACCATATGACGGTCTGTAAAGTTCAACACCAAGAAAATAATATGCAGAGCCCAAATCACGAAGAGAAAACTGAGAGGCAAGATTCTGAATGAGGGTGTTAGTGGCAGATGAAGATGAGCCTGTAATGATAATGCCATCCACATAAATATAAATTAAAATGATGTCAGAACTAGAACGAGAGATAAAAAGGGAGGCATCGGCTCGGGATTCAAGAAAACCAGAAAGAGACGAAATTCACGTAGCCTGATAAACCATGCACGAGGTGCCTATTTCAATCCATAGAGAGATCGATGGAGACAACAGACATGTGTTGGAAATCTAGGATCAACAAAGCCAACCGGTTGCTTTATATAGATTTCTTTTGAAATGTTACCATGTAAAAATGCATTACTCACGTCCAAATGGAGAATATCCCAATTAAAGGAAATAGTGTTGGACACTTTTGTATGCCCTTAGCTTCAATCAGAATGATGTACACTATGAGTTTATTGTAAATGAATAAAAGTACATATTTGATTTAGGGTCCCTTGGTATGTTTCTGTGTAATACCCTTAAACTGGACACTTAATGAGACTCGTGTTAGTTTAGAACGTTCACAGCCAGTGGGTTAGTTTGGGGAGACCTATCCTGATAACGTTGACACTGATGTGCCACCAAGTCGGTTGGGGTGGCCTGTCTCAGCTGCCAGGGTGAGACCCTCGGCACATGCAGTGTAGGATCAATTGAATCTTTGAACCGGACCAGATTTCCAGTATTGCCCTGGACCTTGGAGATT